TAGGCCTTATCCATCTTTTCTAGGAAATTCTTGAAAAACCTTATAAGCGTAGATTTGAACTCTATATCCAGACGCTTTTTGTCCTCCATTTCTTTTGTTTGTGATCTATTTTGTTGTCGCATTTCGCAGTTATAGATGGGACGGGGTTTCAGGGTGGAGCCTGCAGCTTTGGCTTCCGTCAGCCCCGCCCTATGCGGGTCGGTCAGTGCTGGCTGCCGGCGCCTCTGAGAGAAAGGTGCCCTTGATTTTCACCTGCTGCCAAACAGTCTATGCTCTCCTCCAATGAGCCCGGTATTGGGGTTCAGTTCAGTTGGAAGTGGAGTTGGAGGTGGCGTTCAGAGCAGTCTGGAGCCCCAGTCTCCTTCCCGTCAGGGCAATCCCGCGGCACAGCCGACCGTCCCTTCTCTGCGCGCAGTGTGCGCACCGCCGGGACCTCCTTTCGCCGCTTCCCCGGGGTTCCGCCTTACAGCCCGGCTCCCTATGGCTGAGCCTGAGTCCCCGGGGTCTGGCCTAGAACTGGGGTTCAGAGCAGTCGGGGGCCCAGCACAGTCGGGGGCCCAGCACAGTCGGAGTTTTATCTCCTTCCCGCTAGGGAACGCCCGCCGGGCACTCGGCCTCCCTCCTCTCCGGCTCCGTCCTCTCCGCGCCGCCTCCGTACCTTGGGCTTTTCCAGCTCCTCCGCGCCTCCTTCTGGTTTTCTCCTTGCTTCTCACTGTAGAATTTCCAGTCAGTCAACCTTCCTGTAGTTTTGGGCAATGTCCGTTTTATATTTTAGTTGTATTTTATTGAAATTGTTGTGTGCGGCTGCGGCTAGGTGTTCACCTGGGCGCAGCCATCTTGGATCTCCCCTAAGCAGTTGATTATATTAACATTAAACCTATTGAATCCTTATAATTCCAGGAAGCAGGCACATTTTTGTAGATGAAATTAAGTGTCTTGCCGAAACCGGTTTGGCTCAGTGGTAGAGCGTTGGCCTGCGGACTGAAAGGTCCCAAGGTCCCAGGTTCGATTCCGGTCAAGGGCATGTACATTGGTTGTGGGCACATCCCCGATGGGGGGTGTGCAGGAGGCAGCTGGTCAATGTTTCTCTCTCATCAACGTTTCCAGCTCTCTATCTCTCTCCCTTCCTCTCTGTAAAAAATCAATAAAATATATTAAAAGAAAGAAAGAAATTAAGTGTCTTTTCCAAGTCACACAGCTAGTAAGTAGCAGAGCTGTGATTAAAATCCAAAATCTTATCTTAACCACTTTGATATAGTTCTCTTGTTAATCCATATTCCTAAAGGTAATTTGAGCTCCAGTTGACATTTGTCTTTATAGGCATTCCTCAGGTTCAGTTCCAGACCACAGCAATAAAGCAAGTATCACAAAAAAGTAAATTGCATGTTTTTTTTTTGTTTCCTAATGCATATAAAACTTATGCTTACATTATACTGTAGGCTGTTAAGTACACAATAATAGCATTATGTCTAAAAAATGTACATCAATTTAAAAATACTTTATTGCTAAAAAGTGCCAACCATTATTTGAACCTGTTGGAAAATGGCACTAATAAACTTGCTTAATGCAGGGTTGCCACAAATCTTCAAAAAAAATTTTTTAGTTTATTTTAGAGAGGAAGAGAGGGGGAGAGAAACATCAATGTGAGAAAGAAATATTGATTGGCTGCCTTCTGCATGCCCCCTACTGGATATTGAGCCTGTAACCCAGGGTATGTGCCCTACCCAGGAATGAAACCTCAACCTCTGGGTGCACAGGAGGTCGCCCAACTAACTGAGCCACACCAGCCAGGGCCAAACCTTTGATTTGTTGGGAGAGGAGGGGAATATCTGTGAGCCAAAATAGAGCAAAGTGCAATAAAAGTATGTTTATCTGTGGATTTTCCCCTTTGGAAAACTCATAAGACAATGATTTGCCCTTGCTATGCAGTGTTACTTCTTTGGCTCTGTTGGTTTTATGTTCAAGAAATGAAAACTAGCCCTGACCGTTTTGGCTCAGTGGATAGAGCATTGGCCTGTGGACTGAAGGGTCCTGAGTTCGATTCCTGTCGAGGGCATGTACCTTGGTTGTGGGCACATTCCCGGTGGGGAATGTGCAGAAGGCAGCTGATCAATGATTCTCTCTGACGTTTCTGGCTCTCTGTCCCTCTCCCTTCCTCTCTGTAAAAATCAATAAAATATATTTTTTTAAAAAGAAATGAAAGCTAATTCGAATATTATCGTAAACTAGATACAGTAGTCAGTCTCTTGTTTAAGAGGTAGCTTATAGATGACTATCATCGATGTTTGCACACATCAAAATTTAATACATATAAAAGAGATTATGGTGGTCAATTATAGATTGGTTCCTTTTAAAAATTACAGGGAGAGAGTGTTACTTGCAAGACTGCTGAGTGAATGTATTTGTACTTTAATCATTACAGCGTGTCTCAGTTATCCAGATGAAGTACAAGGCCTGGAGGTGGGAGTGTGCTCCGCTCCTTCAAGGACCTGCAAGGAGAACACTGTGGCTAAAAACAGAATCAGCAAAAGGGGACTGGGGGTTAGAAGATGAGGTCAGAGCCCTAGCCAGTTTGGCTCAATGGATAGTGTGTCGGTGTGCGAACCAAAGGTCCTGGGTTTGATTCTGGTCAAGGGCAGGTACCTTGGTTGCAGGGTCCTCCCCAGCCTGGGTCCTAGTCAAGACTCGTGCAACTAATTGATGTGTTTCACATCGATGTTTCTCTCTGTCTTTCCTTCTCTCTTTCACTCTCCCTAAAAATCAATGGAAAAATATTCTCTGGTGAGGATTAATCAAAACAAACAAAAAAAAGCCGAAACCGGTTTGGCTCAGTGGATAGAGCGTCAGCCTGCGGACTGAAAGGTCCCAGGTTTGATTCCGGTCAAGGGCATGTACCTTGGTTGTGGGCACATCCCTAGTAGTGGGTGTGCAAGAGGCAGCTGATCAATGATTCTCTCTCATCGATGTTTCTAACTCTCTATCCCTCTCTCTTCCTCTCTGTAAAAAATCAATAAAATATATTTTTTTAAAAAGAAGATGAGGTCAGAGAGGTAGGATTATGGAAGGCCTTATGGGCATGTTAAGATTTTGTATTTCTACAAAACGGGAAGTTATTGGAGATTTTTGAGCTAATAAGATTTCCAATTTAAAAAATTAATTACTCTGGCTGCTGTGTGGAGAATAGATTGGGTTACAGGAGCAAGTGGGGGTGGGTGGACAGAGACTATGCAGAAGACTATTGTAGTCCAGGCTACAGATGATGAGATGACATATGAAATTATTACCTATTCCAAGAAAGGTTGAGAGACCTAATTAAAACATCACTAGAGTCCTTCATACAGCCCATTTCACAATATTAGTCTCTAGTATTTGTTAATTCCCTTTCCTTGGAGTTTGCGTTCAGCTATATTAGAACCAGAGGAGACAGGTTATTAGGTAGAGATCAGCATTCACAAGGAATGGGATTCTGAGCACTGCAGTCATTTGATCCCAACAGGAGACTTTATTCTTGGCATACTATTCATTCTGTTATCCTACCTACCAGAGGCCTGAAAAGACTGAATCTGTGCCAGAACTCTGGGCGGCTCTGTTCTCATTGAGGCATTCAATCTTTAGTTCTTTCTGCAGTTGCTATCTTAGCCACAGTGAGCAGCCTCTTTTACAAAGTATCTTTTCAGCTACCTGGACTTGCAAGTTGGAGCTCTCTGATACTCATCATGTCAGGGTAATTCCACATACCTGAGAGGGCCCTCTAAGAAAAAGAAGAGCTTTTGTGATCTTTGGTTAACATTTGAGCTTTTCCTCCACATATTATGATGTAAAGCCTTAACATGCCATCTTGACTTCTTGGTTTTTCAGTATGAGAAAAAAATTTCATGTGTGTTAGCACATTATACTTCTTTGGAAAAAACTTGGTCCTTGGTATACAAGTAACTTGCTTAGCATTGTTGACAAGGTTTCCTTCCCTACTCAATGTTTGTTTGCTTGAGTTGTGTATATCTTATTGGTAGACAGCACTGATGAAACAATGCCATCTTGACATAATGTCAGGATTGCCTGTCCTCTAGCCGCCTACTACTTCTTTAATTTCCTTGGGGTGCAATACAATTTTGGGGTGGGGTGGGGTGGGGTCCAGGAGGTCTAATTGTGTCACAGGCAATAGGAAAGGTGAATCACCAGAAACTTACAAACAGAATTTGCTTTAACAGTAGTTAATTGTGTCTCCTAGGATATTTTGCTTTCTCTTCCTTTTAAAAGTGAGTTCAGGTTACTGGAGTGTCACAGTGAAAATTTGGATGCTTTTGCAACTCAAGTACTGTACTGCCTCTGGAAATGACTGACTACCCCGGCTCCAAACCAACCATGTACATAGACTATGCCAGGCCCTATGAGGACAAGGAACTCTGTTCTATTTTCAGAGAGAAATCATTTTCCCCTTCACCTCAGTAAGAATGTGCCCTAGCCTTGCTGCTCCCTTCTTAGCTGGGACACAGATGAGAGCCAGCGTGCCATTCATTTGGCAGCCCCCTGGGCCTTTCCAAAAGCCCATGATAGAGGCAACCTACAGGAAATGGAAATGCTAAATGAGTGCATCTAATGCTTGTAAGCATAAAAGACCTTACAGCCTAAACCGGTTTGGCTCAGTGGATAGAGCGTCTGCCTGTGGACTGAAGGGTCCCAAATTTGATTCAGGTCAGGGCATGTACCTTGGTTGGGGGCACATCCCCAGTGTCTGTACTTTTCATTTAATTATGTGAATAGGTAGATTTTCTTTTCCCCACTCACTCATCTGTGCTGACTGAAATATTTTATCCTTAGTAATAGTTTGGAGCAAATTGTTGCTTCAGATAAGAACATAGATATATTTTCTGCCAACATGCTAATTAAATTGCTTATCTATCTAAACTTGGGCCTGTGCTACTCATATCAGATATCCCTGGTATCTTCCTTGAGTGAGTGGCCTTGTATTCCATGACCTTGTTTTTCTTTGTTCATTACAGTGTGAGTGACTGCCCCATGTTGTGTTGATGCCGGTCTGCCATGCTAGCCTGTCTACCAGGGCCAGGTGACCTGTCCTTTCAGCTTCTTTCTCACACGCAGATGAACACTGGACTTCAGAAATGTAAGTAATCTGGATCCCAGGGAAGAATGTGATCCTTTATTTTGACCCTACATTTGAGCTGTTGCAGAGGGGTACATTGACTGTGGACTTTGATATCTTCAAGATATCCTGCAATACAGACAAAAGAAAGCAATTGCAAAAACTTGTCAGCAATGTGAGATACCTTTGATCAGAGAGATCCTCTAAAATACTAGAATTTCCCAGTGTATATAGCATCTTAATTTTAATTGTTGCTAATAACTCTTTTGCGCGCTATAAGGAATTTTGCAGGAGATATATAATCACCCTTTAAAAAAAAGTATCTCAAATTGAATCCCCACGAGGAATTGAATGAAAATACACAGTTTCTATTACTTATTATATCTCAGAAACAAACTATTTACATTGTTCTGTTGTTTTGAGCTCTCTGAGTACTCTCTACCATGGAAACAGACAATTCCCTTTGGCTTTGCTGTCTGCCTTCTGAGCCAGTGACCTCAGTTCACAGCAAGTAAAGAAGCTTCTGCCTTCAGAGGGATAAAGAGCTAGCTCTCTCAGTCTTTTTGGTATATTCCTGCTAATATACTTGATAGAGCTTTTGAGAATTGTCTGTTAGATTTTTGTCTCAAATTCGCTGAAATTGGGGCTTTGTACTTCATGCTTTCCCAGATTACTACCTTCTATCCTTGAACTGCAGAATGTGCAAGGAATTATTCTATTCCTGGTTCATTACCATGTACAGCATCTTCAAGTGTCAAAATGGCCCTAAATTTGGAATAGACTTTCCTTTTAGAGCAAAAAGGGGAAATCAATGAAACATCTACACTTCCCCTTTACTAGAAAAGGTGCTTCAGCATCTTACCTGAATCCTTTCTGATAGGGTTCTGTACAGGGCCAGATAGCAAAAGTTTTAGGCTTTGTGGGCCGTGGTCTCTGTTGCACCTGCTCAGCTCTGCTATTGTAGGGCAAAGGTAGCTTTAGACAATATGTAAACAATGCATGAGACTGTGTTCCAGTAAAAATTAAAAACAGCAGCTGGATTTTGGCCCACAGACTATAGTTTACTGACCCTGCTCTATGAGATCGTCTTCAGAAGTTAAAATAATCTAGCTTCTGACTTCCTTTCTTTGAGGAAGAGTAAGACTCAGAGCCTGGCTAGTTCTAGGATTGGCCAATGAATCCAACTTGTATAATGACAAAACTGAAGGTAACTGTCTTTCTTCTGCAATAGGCAAGCTCTGCTGTGCCAGCTTTTCCCCCAGCCTTTCTCTTCATAAGTGATGATGGGTGAAGTTGTATGTGTGCTCCCTGGCCACCCAAATCTCCATGCTTACTGCATTGTGACTGATTATGGGTTCCAGAGAACACACTGGAAAGGGGATGTACTTGGAAGCATACAATAAAATGATAAAGAGCAGTTCACTGTCTTCTATATTTCTTAGCTTACTTTGACAGCTTCACCTATAGATGTGATATCAAGGGATGAGCCATTTGAGAGGAAAGGCAAATTGGCAGCTTTATCTTGGATGCTGACATTGAGATCTCCACTTTTCTTTTTCCTCAAAGAAGCTCCTAAGTAGCCTCTGCCAACCACTGTCCCTAGTCTATATTGGAGAATTGAGATATCCTTCTTTCCTGGTTTCAGACTCACCAGTCCACTTGGGGGTCAGTGTATTTTAATTTCTTTGACTCTCTTGTTGCTATCCTTAATTAAATCCACACCTTTGCAGAGGAGAAATCCTATTGGTATTTTTAAGCCTGCTTGCTTTCTTCTCCCATCTCCCAGAAGGTATTTAAAAAAAAAGAAAAATCTTGACTCACAGCTGTTAGTGTTGAATATTTACAGTTAAGGTGAGAGAGGGCATACGCTGTCTTCTTTAGGAGCCAACAACTAAAGAGCTGCTTAGAACACAAGCTTACCAGTTATAGAAACTTTAAAACCAGTTTGTGACTTGTAATTCAGCTTTTCCCTACACCCATTCTTAGAAGGGTCTTCTAAGTTCCTAGAAACCCAGAGCTTGATATCTGGTGGGGTGGGGATGATATACGGATGTTGATAGCTTACTGTGCTTTATGTTGTATGATAAGAGTCAGCTCAAGGCAAGAGAATTGGATCAGGAGTCAGTATATGTGGCTTCTTGGCCCAGCACTATAAGTCACCTGGCTAATCACTTTTCCCCAGGTTTGAGTCACCACATGTATAGATATAGTCACAGGATTGATTCCTTCTAACTCCACATTTTCTCTTCTCGCCTTCCTGTTCGGTGTGTGTAGGAGAATGGAATGTGTTTCCCATCCTAGATGTATAATTTGCCATAGGGAAGGCTGGATTAAAGAAGTCTTGGTTTGGTGTGGGTCCTGTATTTGGTAGAGGTCCAGAGTTAGGGTTAGCTGGAGGCCTTCCTAGAGCTTTTCTAGATTATATGTATTCCGTGATGTTACTTGCTTTGAGAGTCCTAACCATTTTGGAATTCTGTACTTAGAAATTTGTTTTCCTCTGACCCATCTTCTCCTAATCACCCAGAAAAAATGTGTTTTTAAACATTTTTTTAAAATATATTTTATTGACTTTTTACAGAGAGAGGGGAAGAGAGCTAGAAACATCTGAGAGAAACATTGACCAGCTGCCTCCTGCACACCCCCCACCAGGGATGTGCCCACAACCAAGGTACATGCCCTTGACCGGAATCGAACCCGGGATCCTTCAGTCAGCCGGCCGACACTCTATCTACTGAGACAAACCGATTTCAGTGAACATTTTTTCTTTATTAACTCCAAGCTCAGTTTATGGTCAGGTATATAGTAGTGGCTCAATAAATACTTTTGGATGAATGGCTGAAAAGATCAAAAGACCTTGGTTTGCCCTAGCCAGTTTGGCTCAGTGGATAGAGCGTCAGCCTGCAGACTGAAGGACCCCAGGTTCGATTCTGGTCAAGGTCACATGCCTGGGTTATGGTCTCTATCCCCAGTGTGGAGTGTGCAGGAGGCAGCCAATCATTGATTCAATCATCATTGATGTTTCTATCCTTCTCCTTCTCTCTTCCTCTCTAAAATCAATAAAAATATATATATATATATATTTAAAGACCTTAGTTTTCAAATCGTCTTTTAGATAATAATTTTGACCTATTTTATTGCAGTTTTGGAGCTGGAACAAATGTCAAAGTTCTTTTACTGCTTCTTAGTATGTCTATCTGCCCCCTAGTGGAAGGGTCTGGAAATTATTAATTGGCCCAAATGATTGAATAAACTCATAGAAATATCAGCAATATTAACTAATATCTGTTCCATCTGTTGAGTTGCTAACCATGTGCCAGGTACTATCTTGAGTTTTTTATTTTTATTTTATTTTATTTTTTCCATCACCATAAATCTCTTCTATTCCTTCTTCCAACTCCACTCACTCCCCTCCTACATCACCATACTGTTGAACATTTTAAAAATATATATACATTTTTAAAATACTTTTTATTTATTTCAGAGATGAAGGGAGAGGGATAGAGAGATAGAAACATCAACGATGAGAGATAATCATTGATCAATTGTCTTCTGCACACCCTCTACTGAGGATTGAGCCCACAACCCAGGCATGTTCCCTTGACCGGAATTGAACCGGAGACCCTTCAGTCCACAGGCTGACACTCTATCCATTGAACCAAATTGGCTAGGGCCTGTTGAGTATTTTTATATTTTTTTAAATATATTTTTATTGATTTCAGAGAGGAAGGGAGAGGAAGGGAAAGATAGAAACATCAATGATGAAAGAGAATAATGGATCAGCTTCCTCCTGCACGCCCCACACTGGGAACCGAGCCCACAACCCAGGCACGTGCCCCTGGCCAGAATCAAACCAGGACCCTCAGTCCACAGGCTGATGCTCTATTCACAGAGCCAAACCGGCTAGGGTCTGTTGAGTATTTTTATATATGTTGTTATTCATTCCTCAATAATTCTGTATGGGAGACACTCTTATCTTTCTTTTAAGGATGAGGCACAGAGTGTTTGCCACTTGCCAACATGACATTACAGTTCAATGATGGGGCTAGAACTCACACTTGGGTCAGGTTCCAAAGCTTGTATTAGAAATATACTGCTTGTGCCACTCCACCTATAGATAGAGGTTTCTGCTGTATATGCCACCCTTGTCATCTGACCTTCAAAATAGGATACATAGGGAGGTCCCTGTGGGGAAGCTGTATTCAAGCAGATTTCCCCCTAGTCCCAAGAACAGACAAAAGTGCTTTCGGCTACACTTAACTCTCAGACTCAAGTCCAGGGTGTCCTGCAGTTGGAGCTTCCTTTGTCAGGTTACTTTGTCCTATATTTGGACAGACTTAGCCAAAACTGATATCCTTGAATGATAAATATCGACAGTCATTGTTCCTGTCCACAGATTATTTTCCCGTTCATTGGATCTCTTGATCTTAGTAATCCTCTGAAGCAGGACAGTAGATATCATATACCTTTTTGTTATAAATGAGGAATGACCTGAGACTGGGTAGTTAGATGATAAAGTCAGTAGTTGAATCTGGATCTCTCTTTTTTTCTAACCACATATTCCCTACTTTTTATACTGCCTCATGTTTGATTAATGACTCAGTTGGCATTTGATATATAAATAATTTGCTTACAAAGCTGTGGTATCTATGTTAGCTGTGCACAGTGATGTTATAGAAAAAAGAGAGACTTTAGGATGCTTGTGTGTGAGGACTGAGATAAAAAATATTGACAGCTGGCTGGAGTGGCTCGGTGGTTGAGCGTCAACATATGAACCAGGAATTGATGGTTCAATTTCCAGTTAGGGCACATGCCTGGGTTGTGGGCTCAATCCCAGTATGTGGTGTGCAGGAAGCAGCCAATCAATTATTCCCTCCCATCATTGATGTTTTCTTTCCCTTTCTCTCTGAAATCAATTTAAAAAATTTTATTTTTAAAAAGTATTGTAAAGAACTTGACCTTTTAATTAATTAATAATAATATTAATAATAATAATTATTATTATTATTATTTTAGAACTTGACCTTTTTTAAAGGGCTGGGCTTAAGTCTGATAAGTGAAGTGGTTGGTACTGAATTCCCAGAATATGGCCTCTTGTCCAATATACTCATCTCATCCTTGAGATTCTTCCTTAATAAAAATACTGTAGCCTGTGTCTCCCTTCCCCTCCATCCATTACTTCCCTTTGATTCCTGTTCCTTTATTTGACTACCCTCATCCCTGCTGTCACCATCAGTGGAGGCAGGACAAGAAGAACTAATTAGCCTTGACCTGTGGGTGGAAAAACTAATCAATGTCAGTGTCATACTCCTGAATGCGTCCCTTCTGCCTCTGCTAAAAAAACAACAACCTGAGAGTTGGTACTGACTTGAAAAAAGGAACTCTATTGATCTCCGGTCAGGGTACATACAAGAACCAACCAATGAATGCATGAATAAGTGGAACAAATCTATGGCTTGTGCCCTCTCTCTTCATCTTCTTCCTTTTTCCTTCTTTCTTCTTCCTCGCTCCCCCCTCCACCCCACCTTCCTCTCTCTCTCTTTCTCAAAATAAATAAATAAATAAATAAAATTTAAGAAGGAACTCTGTTATTCAACAAGCCTAACTGTATTCCTCTCTCTTGGCCTTCAAGGAGAAAAGCCGACTAACATGGAGGAGAACCCAGGGCAGACCATTATTTCCTGTCTGAACTAAAACTCCATAGCTTCAAACTCCCATTCCTCAGCCCATTTGTTCAGTCAGACAGTCCCCATACTGATGGTACTTAACAAGTATTTGCTACGTATCTGCTCTAGCTAAGACACTGAGCTAGGAGTGTTACATGATTTTGACCAGTCAGACAGACACCTAAGTCCAGTGGTTGGCCAGGCCAGTTTCTAATGGAATTCTGGTACCTTGAGTATAGGAACTATCTCTCAGTGATTCTAGGCTTTTTTATTTTTAATTTTTATTTTTTTGTCTTATTGTCAAGGAGAATGTAAGAAGGGTCAGAAAATGTCTCCACTTTATGGAGACTGAAGCCCATTAACATTTGTATGTGTATAGATGCAATTAAATTCAAAATATCATGGAGTGTGGAGATAGTTTCTGTTTTGGACGCGTGGCAGTTAAGGGAGAGTGGCCTACAAAAAGCAGAACTCAAACTCTGCTCTCAGAGCTTTGACCCTCCTCAGCAGCTAGTGCTGCCTAGTGGATGGGTACGATTTCTGAGCCTCTCTGCCTTCCTCTCCTTCCTACCCCAGTTGTCACCATCACATTCATCATTTTAAGATGTTACAGACATTTCCTTTATGAGTAGAGCATTTATTTGGTAAATAGGGCAGATCCTTAAATATGTTTACCTATCTACTAAGTTCAAGGCATTATTCCAGTATTTGAAAGCATTAACCTTTTCCTTTCTGTACTCTTTTTGCTAAGTTCTACATTCTTGAGTGTGGACCTGAATTATCTGCCCATCCTAGACTTGAGCTTTCTTTTCCTGCTTCCAAGAACAGCAGTTTCTAAGCAGTTGTTGCCAACTAACCAGCAATGCCACCAAAGGATGGCAGCTGTGCCCTCATCTTTAGCACACTCACTAGCCTACTTCTCTTCCAGTTGATGCCCAGTGACATGATTTTCAAATAAGGTCTCCTTGAGCCAAGCCAGCTGAAGTCACAAGCCCAGCATTCAGTCAGCCTAGTCCCTGCTCTGTATGGCTGCCTTACGCAAGAGGAGGAAGTAGGGAGGGAATCTGCTCGCTGAGCCTCGGTTCCCAGCCAAGCCCCCTTCCTTCGCTTTGGGCAGTTTGTGTACTTAGTCACTCAGCAAGCCTTTATTAAGCACCTTCTGTGTAAACTCAGGGAGATCCTCCCTCAGAGTCAGGGATAACAGAGCAGAGACCCCTTGCAGGAGCCTGGCATCCTGAAAGAGCGCTTGTTCTCAAGAACCTTTTCCTTTTTGACTGGAAGCACAACATCCGCTGGAGCCCCCTGATGGGAGGCAACTGGAGCTGGGAACAAAGAGACTGTTAACATTAATGAGGCGCATTGAGTGAGTAATTCTGCAGTCTCCAAAGGAAGTCAGATTTTTCCTCTTTCATTTTGGAAAGTGACAGCTGACAAGGGCCAATACAGACTATTTTTGGCTCTCAGGACTTAAAAGATTCTCTGAATCCTTTCTTCTCAAATTCCCTTTCTGCTGCCCTGTCATTATTGTCACCCCCCTCAAGGAAGTAAAGCCTTTTGATCTTTACCAATCAGGCTGAAAGTAAGCTGTAAACAAAAGTGAACTTGTGACATGGGATGGGAGAGTGATGTTGGCAGCTTATTCCTCTGCTCCTAAAAAAGAAGCATCCTGTCTACTGTGCCAGGATGCCCACCCAATGGGCATGATGCCCCAGCTGCCAGTGCTAAGGAGAAAGCTGATGCCTCACTGGCCACTGCAGATTGAAGAGTAGTCACTCTGGCTGCCCTCTTTACCAGGATGTCCTGGGGAAAGGGACTGAGGGCTCTCACAAGCAGCTCTGCTTAGAATCGGCAGTACCCAGGCCAGCGTGGGCTGGTAGGAACTTGGAGAGAGCTCAGTGTTTAAGAACAACTCTGCGAGAATTGGCCAGATTCTCTCTGCCAGATACTGGACTTTTGAAAGTTGCTCTGCTATTTCTGTCTTTAGTGATGTCATTTGTAAAACAAGCATCATGATGAAGCAGGTACTAAGTATTCGTTGAGATAGCCTGACACTTAGCACAAGGCCTGGCCCATTATAAGTTCTGATGGGGCCTGAGGCTGGGTCTGACTCGAAGGCTAGGGAGACAGCTTAGCCCCTCCCCTCCCCACCTTTTACACCCTCAAAAGGGGAATCCAGAAGGCTGGTTGGCTTGGCACTGATGAGCTCCCTCTCCTTCTTTGCTCTCCTTCCCCTTCTCTCTCTCTAGGGGACACTACACAGAAAATGAGAACTGCTCACTATCCTACCCCAGCCGAATTGGATGCGTATGCTAAGAAGGTCGCAAACAACCCACTGACTATAAAAATCTTCCCCAACAGTGTGAAGGTTCCCCAGCGGAAACACGTTCGTCGTACTGTGAACGGCCTCGACACATCAGCCCAGCGCTACAGCCCCTACCCGACTCAGGCTGCCACCAAGGCAGGCCTGCTTGCCATTGTCAAAGTGCCAGCCAAAAGCATACTCAAGGACTTTGACGGCACCCGAGCCCGGTTGCTCCCTGAGGCCATCATGAACCCCCCAGTGGTGCCCTATGCTACTGTGGCACCCAGCACTTTAGCCCATCCACAGGCCCAGGCTCTGGCCCGCCAGCAGGCCCTGCAGCATGCACAGACCCTGGCCCATGCCCCTCCCCAGACGCTGCAGCACCCTCAGGGTATCCCGCCACCCCAGGCGCTGCCCCATCCTCAGAGCCTCCAGCAGCCTCAGGGCCTGGGCCACCCTCAGCCCATGGCCCAAACCCAGGGCTTGGTCCACCCTCAGGGTCTGTCTCACCAAGGTCTCCAGCATCCCCCCAGTTCCTTGTTGCATGGAGGCCGGAAGATGCCAGACTCAGATGCCCCCCCGAATGTGACTGTGTCTACCTCAACTATCCCCCTTTCAATGGCGGCCACTCTGCAGCACAGCCAGCCCCCGGACCTGAGCAGCATTGTGCACCAGATCAACCAGTTTTGCCAGACGAGGGCAGGCATCAGCACTACCTCAGTGTGTGAGGGCCAGATTGCCAACCCCAGCCCCATTAGTCGCAGTCTGCTCATCAATGCAAGCACCCGGGTGTCGACCCACAGCATCCCCACACCAATGCCTTCATGTGTGGTCAATCCCATGGAGCACACCCATGCGGCCGCAGCCGCATTGCCTGCTGCAGGCCCTGTCAACCTGCCCACAGGCATCTCTCGAGCCCCCACTGGCTATCCTAACGACCTCAAGCCAGTTGCCTGGAACCAGCATCAGCTGGCCCACCTACAACAGATGTGCAGTGAGGCTGGTGGGACGCCGGCCCCTGGTCTGACAGGCAAGCATGCAACAGGACGCGAGTTGGCAGGGCCTGGCTTTGTGGGCAAGGCCCCTGCCTACCCGCAGGAACTCTGCCTGGCACAGTCCTTCCATTTGAAGCCACCCATGGAGAAGCCAACCCCATCCCCACCAGTCAACGGCCTGGCAGCCCCATTGGCCTACCCCAATGGTCACTACTTCCAGCCCCTGTGGAACAACATTCTGCCCACTCCCAATAGCGACAGCTCGGGGTCTCAGGACCTCGCCATGCCGTTCCACGCTGGGCAGCCCACAGGCGCACCCCTGGACTGTGCGGCAGCTGCCGGGGCCCACTACCGAGCAGGGACCGGGGGCGTTCCGGTGGCAAGCCAGAACAGCTTGATGCAAACAGTGGATTACCTAAGTGGGGATTTCCAGCAGGCCTGCTTCCGAGAACAGAGCCTGGCCGTGCTAAGCAAGGCTCATCGAGCCCCTGGCGGCCGAGCCCCAGACCCCCCAGAGAGTCGAAGTCTTCATATTCAGCACCCGGGATATAGATAGGTAGTCCCGGTGCCCTCCGGGAGCTTACGTCCTGCAGCCCTCCTAGGTGTAGTCTTACTTTTGAGTAATTGGATAGTTTCAAATTTTTACTGCTCCAATGTGATCATTCTTAGATTTCTAAGAAAGGGAATTTAGTGGGATCTAATTGGGGACGGGGGGATTCTCTGTGCCCTCATTCTTTCCCCTCCACCAGCCCTAGCAGTTTTTGGGGATTTATGTTAGAACCTAATCCCAATCCCAGGCTTTTTTCTTCGCTGCCTGCCTGTCAGTCCTATTCCAAGTCCATCTCCCTTCCCCCACTTTGCATTTCCCACCAGCCACCTCCAGTCTTTTCCTGCTCTGCCTTTTTCCCTTAGGACTGAAGTGAGCTAAGGGCCCTAGGTGAGGTCACTATAGGTGCCCAGCCTCCTAAGCTAGACCTCTGTCTGTTTTTCTGTCTCTCTTTCTCTAGGACTAAAAAGCCAGGCTTCCCAAGTGCTCTGGAACCTATTTTTTTTTTTTTTTTTTTAAACGTCGTACAAATGTTTATTTTCCTTTTCATACAAAACCCGTCAGAGCGGGACGGGAAGGTGCCGGCCCACCACACACTGGGGGGTCTGCACCCCGTGTACAAACAGGGGTGCCGTCCGGGACCGCGGTGAACCGGCTGTAAAAATAGAAGCTGTAGTGACGGACACAGGGCGCGGGGAGCGGTGTGTGTGGCTCAGGGCAGGGGGGACCCCAATCCCGGGCCGGGCCTGTGGGGCGTCCGGCGGGTCCGGCAGCGTCTGCGCTCCTGGCCGCCCCCTCCGCGTGCCCAAACCCCACTGGGCGCCCCGCCCGGGGGTCCCACCACCGGCCCGGCCGACTGGCCGCCCCCGCGCAGGGCCCCCCGCATGTTGGAACCTAATTTCTTATTCACCGCAAAGACCTCAAATCAAAACTGAACAGTCTTCATCTCTGCTCAGCCTCTCTTCATTCCTTAAGGCGTTTATGTCTACATTGATCCCAGAGCCACTGAGCTGAACCTTGCCACACTTCTCAAGGGCATTCTGCAGACACTTGGCCGTAGCCTTGAGACATGGGAGGGAAAAAGTGTCTTTGTGTTGGTATCTTGGTTTTTTTTATTCCCCTTTCCAGCCTAGAGAAATGCAGTGACCATGCAGCATATCTTAAGATCCTTTTCTCACTGTTGCCACTCATAACTCATCTGCTGCCCTCATTCTCCACCCCCATCCAAAAAACAAGTATAACAAAAAAACTGATCCTACTTGAGGAATTAGGTAGATAAGGGATGATCACATTGGAGTTTGGAATTAACACCAAAAAAAAAAAAAAAAAAAACCTTTTGGTTCTCTACACTGGCTAAGAATATTGCTCTACACTGTAAGTTTTATGTCATGTTTCTGTATGAATGTAGTGTGGATTTGAGTAGCATTGTGTGCGAGTGGCCCCACAGGTACATACACCTTCTAGACACCTCCTTTTGCAGCCCCTCAGTTTGATGAAGAAAGAAAGAAAAACACAAAGCCTTAAGCTCTGAATTCTTCCTTTACCAAATGAGCATGGTTCTAACAGCTGAAGATGGGTGTACATTGGAAACAGCCCCTCTCGCCCCTTGCTCACTCTTCGCTCATACCCACTCCATGCTCAACACATCTAATTCCCAAGAGACAATTAGTTAGCTAGAAATTCAAACTTTTCTGTAACTTTAGATTGTTTTGTACATTTTTTTTGTACCCTCCTATAGTTGGGCTCTGCCTTTTTTTTTTTCTCCCCTTAACCAAATAAGCCCCTTTTCCTCTCTTCTCTGGGGAATGTGAGCTGATGGTCTTATTTAAAATTTGGGGGTTTGTTTACTATCCACTGTTCTTTAGCCAGAATTCTCTAGTGATCTGAATCAATGTGACTGAAGACCAGTTTTTAAATTATGTGTTGGCAAGTTGCCTTATATTTAAAAATAGAAGAAAAAAAAAGCCTGATTGTGTTATGCCAAATGATAGCAACATGAAGTCCTAATTTATTGTTCCTGATTGTTTTCCTGACGTCTGTGCACACTGGTACCTCCCTGTCCCTGAGCCCCCAGGAGCGCCTGATGCTTCTGGTGCAATGCCTTCTCCTGAGGTGTTGGCCACCATCTCACCCAAGGCCCCCTTCCAGTTCTTCCTTCTCTGAGTTCAATCGAAAGAGCACTACTGTCTCCCCCTAACCCTTGCTTGAGCTCCAAACCAGATACTTTTGCTGTGATTTTTTTCCTAATGCCTCTCCCCAAAAGGTGAGCTGCCATTTTAGAAAATTGGACCAGACACCAATGTGGGGGCTTTATATCAAACCTCAAACCCATCTCTTCCTGTGTGGGGGTACAAATCTCTGAAGCTCTCACTCCCACCCCTAATCTGCATGGAAAATGTACTGTGACCCCCCACCTTTGTCCCCAACTGCCCTTGCCTTTGGTGTGAGATGTTTCCTAGTTCACCCTGAGCTCCTCACCCCTCTGCCAGCCAACCCCCAACCAGCAATAAGAGGCCAGACCAGGGCCTCCTATCTATAATCCCTGCCTCCACCCCACACTGCCCCTAGGGAATACTGTTTCCCTGAGCTGTCCACATACTGTAGCATTCACTCTCCATCTCTCATCTTCTCACCTGTGGTGGTTTATGGGTATGATGGGGTTTTTAAGATTATTATAAACGAGTAAAAAGAAAAGTCACCTTTCAAACTTGTCCTATTTGTTTATAGTGGTTTCTAATGTCTCATTTACTGGAAGGGAAGTAATGTCTCATTTTTAAGAGGGGGACCCCTGTTCATCCCACTCAGAATCCCCCCCTTCCCCCAATCCATTATTGAAGAAGAGGTTTTGGGATTGTAATGTAATCAATCCCTAGGAGGTACCCAGGATCTCTTCCCTAGGCAGGACAATTAGGGCCTTGATGGGTTAGTATGTCTTCGTGGAGGTCTGAAGGATACTGCCACTTTCACTCCAAGGATCATAAGTCACTGAAAAATGGGTAACTTGCTAATAAGCTATTTAAGACTAAATGTCCCTCCCTCCACTTCTCCTACCTCCAACAGGAATTCTGAGGGCCTCTGACAGAGGTGGAGGTAATAAGTGCTATAATCTGTAAAATGAAAAGTAACTTTTAAAAAATATATATTTTACTGAATCTTTACAGAGAGGAAGGGAGAGGGATAGAGAGTCAGAAACATCGACCAGCTGCCTCCTGCACACTCCCCACCGGGGATGTGCCCACAAACAAGGTACATGCCCTTGACTGGGATCGAACCTGGGACCCTGAGTCCGCAGGCCGATGCTCTATCCACTGAGCCAAGCCAGTTAGGGCTGAAAAATAACTCTTGGTGAATCTTACGGGTTTAGTATTGGAGAACTTTTCCCTTTTTTGTCTGCAAGGGGGGTGTGGGGGGGAATCTGAGAGCAACTTACAGCCCTAGTTGGTTTGGCTCAATGGATAGAGTATCGGCCTGTGGACTGAAGGGTTCCAGGTTCAGTTCCAGTCAAGGGTACATGCCCAGGTTGTGGGTTTGATCCCCAGTAGGAATCGTACAGGGGACAGCCAATCGATGAGAGGGAATCATTGATTGGGTGCCTCCTGCACATTGGACTGAGCCCACAACCCAGGCATGTGCCCTCAACCAGAATCGAATCCAGGACCCTTGGATCTGCAGGCTGATGCTCTCTCCACTGAGCCAAATCAGCCAGGGCATCATCATTGATGTTTCTATCTCCCTCTCCCTCTCTGAAATCAATTATATATATATATATATATATATGAAAATATGAGATACTTACAGTTGACCCTTGAACAGTGGGGGTGGAGAAGTTAGATGTGCCTCTAAGTACCCCCATTCCTACATAGTCTAAAATGACTCTAGCCCTAGCAAGTTTGGTTCAGTGGATAGAGCATCAGCCTACAGACTGAATGGTCCTAAGTTCGATACCAGTCAAGGACTCATGTCCAGGTTGCAGTCTTGGGGGCGTGCAGAAGGCAGCCTATCAGTGATTCTCATCATTGATATTTTTGTCTCTCCCACTCTGAAGTCAATAAAAAATATCGCTCTATATAAAAGCCTAAGCAACCATGACAGCCGGACAACTGGCTGGTAGCTATGACATGCACTGAGCACCAGGGGGCAAACGCTTACTGCAGGAGCTGTCCCCTGATAGTGCGTTCCCATAGCCAACTCCCAAAGTCCCTCCCGTCACCCACCAGGTGGAGGGACCCACCTGTGCACAAATTTGTGCACTGGGCCTCTAATGTCAAAATGACTCCAAAGACTTTACTAATAACCTGTTGACAGGAAGCCTTACCAACAACAGCCGGTTATGCATATTTTGTATGTTACATGTAGTATATGCTCTATTAAAGTGAGCAAGAAGAAAAATGTTTAAAAACAAAGCAATATATTTACAGTACTTATTGGGGGGGAAATCCATGTATAAGTGGACTTGTGCAGTTCAAACTTGTGTTGCTCAAGGGCCAACTAGATTCCCCGGTCCCCCTTTTGGTTGCTTGAACGTCATCCTGTGCACTGAAGAAGAGTTGCCAGGGCACATACCTGAGTTGTGAGTTTGATCCCCAGTTGGGTCACAAACAGAAGACAACAATCAATTTTCCTCCTCACATTGATGTTTCTTTCTCTAAGTATGTCCTTGGGTGAGGATTAAAAACGAATTAAAAACACAAAAATAAAACCTGGCCTGAGTTCCACAGGGCAACTATGACTGCCTGTAACACCACTGGAATGAGGGCTAGGCCTGAGTATGGAGTTGACTGCAATGCACCATTGTTGCACACAACTCTAAAAAGCACGTTCCCTGGAATGGTGCAGAGACAGCCCAAACTTGATCCATTGTATCTGACTTCTCTTGGAAAGATGGTTCCATCTGTTGCCTGAAGCAAGTGCGTAAGACATTTCTTCTGCTAGAGCAGTGGTCACCAACTGGTGGCCCTAGAACCATTGGTGGTCAGTGAGGTCTGAAAGGTTTAAGGAAACCGATTAGAGCATATGGTTGTCCCTATTAGCTTCCAGAGTCACTGTATCAGGGTGGTTTTTATCTGACGAAGGGGCCACCTTTATTAGGCAGCCAGGACCCGTTTCTTCCTAGATCTGTGAATTTGACCTTTTGAAGGCCAAGCTGGTGCTTGTTTCTCTGTGAACTATAGCCCTTGAACCTTCCCTTGACTAGGTAAGTTTCCATCATTGGGCCTCTTTTCAGGGCCAGCCAAGAGTAAGGCACTTACTTAATGCTGATTAGATCATCTTTATAGTAAATCAAAGTGAGCAGGATTACTCTCAATCCCGCACATAGTTTCACCAGCGAGAGCAAAATGCCTCTCCATACAGCTAAGTAACTTGCCAAAAAGGAAGCAAGGTTAAGGATCCAAATCTAACTATGGCAAAATTAAAAGAAAGCTATATACATCTAGGAATTGCTGGAGCTTGAAACAGAATCCAGGCCCTGCCTCAAACCAGCTGAAGTCAATGCACTCTTTTGTTCCTATTTTTTCTGTTAAATGTGGATAATCATAGGCACCCACTGAGGTGTATATGAAAAGCAAATGAGTATGGATGAGAAAATTCAAGCACTTTATACACCCCTTGTTCAGCTTAGTCTCTGAGTTTGGGCTGGGCTTTGGAGTTAATATTCATCAAGCACTTATTCTGTGTTAGGAACATGCTTTGTCTCATTAAATCTTCAACAGAACTAAAATAGGTGCTGTTATGTTGATAAAACGATTTCACTTGATTTATTAAATGAAATAATGCATGTAGTGCTTAAGTGTCACCACCAGAGGGCAGCAGCAGGATCTCTTCCACACAAAGCCTGGTGCACTTCCCCTGTAGTCCACCAGAGGGAGACCCATCAGGGCAGCTGATTCTAGGGGTAAAGGCAGCAGCCGCCGCCAGTCTGACTGGTCCTTTGCCTTCCCAATTGGGCCCAGCCTTCCAGGGCCCTAACCACCCAGATGAGTCAGACTGGAACAAAATTAATAAATACAATTCAGGATTTATTAAAAATCAGGGCTCCCTGCTGTGCCCTCCTGGCACTAAGTAAATAAATAACCAGAAGACACAGAGGGAAGAGAAATCAGATTTCAAGACATATTCTTTACCCGACTCCCCCTCCCCCCTATGGCTCTTGGGACATAGCACCAGCAGGCACCTCGGTCCAGGTAGAATGTGGCCGGCACCAAGGCATGTCTGCCCTGCCCAGGAGAGGAGACAAGCCCTAGGATCACTTGTTTCCAAGCCCTTGATGACCCCAAGACCTGCTCGGCCAGGGCTGAAGCACCAATAGGAGGCACCTGAGGGTGGTAAGGAAGGGGGGAGGGGAATTAGGGTAACAGAACCTAGGCTGCAGAAGCAGCTGAAAGGGGGTCCTGCCCCCTTCTCCAGGTTCAGCCAGTGCCTGACAGAGGTCGTGTCCCACCCCCCCTTTGTCCTGGAGCCGTCTGTGCTCAGCTGAGGATCTTCCGTGGCAATTCAACTGAGGCACGGATGAAGACTGCATCATCCCGCACATAGTTTCGCTTGCGGATATCCTGGTGGGAGATGAATTTGGGGTAACCAAACCCCAAAGAACTCTCATCCAGGGAGCCCCGCCAAGTGCCTGG